ACTGCCACCTGCGCCTACAGGCCACAGACACAGACACAGAAAGCACGTGTGAGGACAAATCAGTAAGGCACTGTGGCTAAGGATCTTTGCCCATGGCTGGAAGGTTGCCGGTTCAAATCCCGCAGCCGGCAGGGGAATCCTACTCCATTGGGCAAGGCCCTTAACCCCAGCTGCTCCAGGGGTGCTGTACAATGGCTGACCCTGCGCTCTAACTCCAAGCTTCTCTCCCTGTCTGTGTGTCTCATGGAGAGCAAGCTGGGGTATGTGAAAAGACAAATTCCTAATGCAAGAAATTGTATAGGGTCAATAAAGTGATCTTATCTTATAACCAGCCTCCCCCCACATAGAAAACACAAGGACCTTCCAGCGTTTTGCAGTGTATAATTGGTGCCTCCTCTTTTTCCTGCGTTATGGGGACGGAAGAGTGTGCCACGTGGACTAAGAAAAGAATATTCCAAATTAGGGGGGCTTGCACAAAGACAGGACGTGGAGACACACACACTCACGCTGTCCAGGCGCTTCTGCAGCAGCTCCTGGTAGAGCCCAGCGAAGGAGAGCCAGCCCAGCAGCGCTGCGCCGCCCAGCGCCTGCCCCCGCTTCAGCCCGGTCTCCAGCGCCCACGCCACCAGCTGGCACCCCTCCACGGCCATGCGGCACTCCTGGTCGTTGGCGGCGGAAGGGAAGCCTCTCAGGACGTGGGCGCACTCCGCCAGGTGCTGGCTACACTCCTGCCCGGCGGAGAGGGCCTGGTGCACGCCCAGCCCTCGGCCGGCCAGCTCCAGCGTCAGGCCGAGGTGGGCAGCGTCCCTGTGCCCTTGCAGCCGGCCCCTGGCTTGCTCCAGGAGCGCTGCAGCTCGCTTCCAACAGCCGGCCTTACAGAGCTGCTTGCAGACGTTCAGCACAATCTCACACAGCGTGGCCCCTGCCCAGAGGCAGCTGGGGTCGCCCTGGTCCTGCCTCGGCCCGCCCAGCTTGTGCAGCAGGGGGCGGAGCAGGAAGCGCTCGCTCTCCTTCACCAAGATGGCGGCCGCCTTCTCCCCCAGCGGGCTGCAGAGGGCCTCGTACTCCACCATGGCGGCCTCGCAGTGGCGCGACACCAGGCCGGGGGGGCTGCTCTCTGGAAGAGGCTGGGAGGGCGGAGAGCCGCCACCGAGGAGAAGCAGGAAGCCGACGGCCTGCATGCGGCCGCTCAGCCTGGCGCTGGGGTCCTTCTCCGTGCCTTCACCCCCCGCGGCCTTCCAGAGCACCGCAAAACAGTTGCGCGCCAGCACCTGGAGGTCTTCAGACTGGGGAGGGAGGGGAAAGAGAAATATTTTCAGAAACACACCCCATAGCTGCACAATGTGTAAGATGTCTGTTAGTCCATCCATTCATTCATTTTCTAACCGCTTCTGGACAGGACTCCAGTCCATCACTGCACACACTCACTCCAGGGCCAATTGACCCAGCAGCGCGTCTTTGGACCGTGGGAGCAAAATGGAGCCCCTGGAGGAAACCCACACAAACGCAAGGAGAACATACAAACTTCACACAGATAGCAGCCCAGGAATTGCGCCTAGGGCCCCAGAAACTGGGAGGCAGCAACGTAAACTACTGCGCCACCCTGCTTCCCACAAATGTTAGTCTAGGGGAGCAAATCACAGGCCAACAACCACAGCCCCCAAGATACAGGGCCCTTTCTTATCTACACCCTTGCTACACAATCCAACTGCATGGGCATGAAATGGGCAAAAGAAAACATCAGTTACAGCCATCTGGTGC